ATGCTAATAAGGTGATTAATATGCACAAATATTTACCCCAAAACTAATCAGGTCTCTGCACAGTCCTTAAGTAACTATGTACCAAGTTTCATTGAAATGTGATGATTACTACTTGAAATATCAAAAGCTGAAAATTAATTAATTATGCAAATTAGGTAATTAATATGTACTGATATTACCCTAAAAACTATCAGATCTGTGCAGTGTCGTATGACATCTATGTACCAAGTTTCATTGAAATGTGATGATTACTACTTGAAATATCAAAAGCTGAACATTAATTAATTATGCAAATTAGGTAATTAATATGTACTGATATTACACTAAAAACTATCAGGTCTGTGCAGTGTCCTATGACATCTATGTACCAAGTTTTATTGAAATGTGATGATTACTACTTGAGATATCAGTGGAAAAGCCAAAAATTGATTAATCATTATGCAAATTAGGTAATTAATATTGCACAGATTTTTACCTAAAACTAATCAAAACTGCACATTAGTTCAGAGCATCTATGCGCCAAGTTTCATCAAAATCCAATGAGTGGTTCTTTAGATATCAGTGGAACAATCATGGAACAGCTAAAAATCAGCTAATTAGCATGCAAATTAGGTAATTAATATGCATGGATTTTTACCAAAACCTAATCAAATCTGCGCATTGGCCCAGAACATCTATGCACCAAGTTTCATCAAAAATCAATGTATGGTTCTTGAGATATCAGTGGAACAGATGGACACACATACACATACACACACACACCCCCCACACCCACACACATACAGACACACTAACTGCAAACACTCCCATTGTGTGCTTCGCACACGAGAGTCAAACATTCCATACACAAGCCATGAACAGTAGGACCAATTCAACCAATTCAATACATCATGTTTTTGAAAATAAGTTAGAAAGCTGCTCAAAGTTGATTGATGACAGGACATTTTCTTTGTGACTTGATGCAAGAAAACAATATTTCTTTATTCGCTGATTCCAAAACAAGTCTACACCTGAGTTAATGAATGATAGAATCTAAATAAATCTGTTGTGGAAACATTTGATACAACAAGAGACAGCACACAGTTTGACTATCGTTATGTTCTCTGTTTGCTGCAGTATTCTCGTATGTCTGTGATTAATGCATGTTTTTTTCTCTTGTTTTCAAGTATCCAAGACAAATTAGAGATCTTCCATATCAGCCAGACTTTGCTGTGAGAGGTCTTCATTTTGATGTGTCTAAGGTAAGAAGAAACTATAAAATAAAATAAAAATGAGAGTGCTCCCAAGCTTTCTTGTTTTCATGGTACATAGTTTTCATGTCATTATGTTTTGGTGTTTTTTCCTTATTACCTTACTTAATATGGTCACCATTTTGAATTCTGAATGGTAAGTTTACAGATCTTGTGTATTACTTTTACACTCTCTTACAACAATATAAAAACTTAAAAAACAAGGCTATTTCATGCATACAGTCAATAACTCCTATTTGCATAATGATGGCTTCTTTACTAGTAATAAATCAGTATTGTTGAATTAAAATACACTGGTACAGAAAACATTGGAAAGGTTGACACATGCCACCCATCTAAGGCTCTGTTGTTCTTTTCTTTGATATATATTTAATATCAAGTTTAAAATACAAGCACATCATCCCTTGCAAAATGATTTGAAAATAAAAATAAAATTACATTCAGGGGTGCCTACATGACCCCACTCACACATTGATGCAAGGTCTACATATACGTGTGAGATTTGTGTCTAGAATTATAAGTGGACTCTTAATTTCAAGATTTTTGTTCTTCAGATTTTCACTTATTCACGCATAAAGATATAAGCTTGCCATAGAAATTCTGTATAAAAAAACTGTAGCAATCAACTTTAATTTGAATGTTTATTCATTATTTTATCAAAGACAACATTGTTATGACATTTATAACAATGCTATAAAAAGCAGGGTACATTTGCCCGGTACATGTGCAGCAGCTTGACACTCCTCTTGACTCTGTTGACCTTAGTAAGACTACCATTAATATCCATCAGTGACAATTTCAATATATGCTGGTATTGCAGGTATTCATACTGCCTAGTATGTGAGAATGCAAAGACTTCTTGTTTCTAGTGACCTGAAATAATGAAATTAGTCGTGATTTCTGGAATCCCATATGGATATGCTCTCAGGCAATATTTGCTCTATTACCGTAAGGTAGTAGTGTATGCGTTTATGTAAATGTCGGAGGAGTTATTGATACCTTACTCCTAAAAAATATTTACTGACAGATTTTTCTGATTTTTGCCAGGACTATATTTATGACTGTTACCAATAATAAAATTTCATTCCCAAAAAAATCACCATTTCAAATTTGAAATAAATGATGCTTAATCGATTGAAGCATGATCAAATCCAATTACGTACATTTAATTATATCATTAAAACATTGACAAAATATGTCTCAATTAGCATTACACTCATGTAAGGTACTTTTAACTCATAATCAACATAAATCATCATAGAAAACTTTCTCTATTACCGGTAATGCAGAATTTAGAGAAATAAGCTGGTAAATAAACTCAATATATCTTTCTTTTGGTTGACATATGTGCCACTCTTTGAATAAGTAAATAGTAAATTTTCAAATAACTTTACAGAAATGTGAGTGATGTTATTCAATTCGGTGGGCATAGTTTGTGAGAAACTTACAGGAGTTTATGTGACATGTGCTCCCATAGAGAACGCTCAGACAGTGCTAATGTGATATCAGTAATAGCTTATTTAAATAATCCATGGATACCCACTTTTTGAACACAAACAGTTAAGAGTTAAACACACATGCAACAACATGTGTTAGGATGACATAAACAAGGTTCACAATAAATGTATTTGATTCATGTGCCTTTTATTGCAAATAGATATATTGGAAAGTTTTGGTGGCATAGAAACTTTGGTAGCGAGTTTTACTGTGTTCACATTTTGTTATTAAATTGTACTAGGGTGGTCTAATTTGTAAAATTTGCAAAATTAAATTGATTCACAATTACTGTTTCCCTCTATTGGTAATGCATTTTCAAAAGAAGTGCATTTATAAGTCTTACTTATTTCACAACCGACCTAAACTTGTGATCAGTTTTGTAATTTATTTTGATAAAACATTTACAGGGCTAAAGTCAAGAGAGCATCCACTTTCAAGGCCAAATTTCAAAAAAATAAAAATAATATTATTATTGCCTTGGCATGATTTAGAGATACATGTATTACAAGCAATTACTGTGTTTACAAAGAACACTTGGCTTTAGAGCATAAAGTGCTTACATATTTCGTATCCATCCACCAGTATACTTTCCAACCAAATGACCAAGCATGGTGGCTACTTTGCATATCAATACTACTAGTATCTAAGTTGCGTGTGCATTTAAATAATTAGCAGATTTATTGCTTTCTTGAAAGTTTAAGCCACAGTGAACCCGCCATGCTTTGAAGTCCTGGAGGAACACTGAATGATTCTCCTCTTCTTCTATTTTGGTTTTATTGTGTCTTTTTAGTCCCCGTTCGGACGCAGTCCGAAAACGGGGACTTATGTTTTGACCTGCGTGCGTGCTGACGTGCGTCCGTTTGTGCATCCGGACCTGTATCTTAGAAATGCCTGGACCAATCACAATCAAACTTCACACATACATCATACATGATATTATACATATGCACGTCAATTTGTTTCACGATCTGATTCAAGATGGCCGAATGGCGGCCATTTTTGTGCTAAAAATCATCAACACCAAGCATTTCTCGGCTGTTTATAAATGAATTTTGTTCAAACTTGGTATATACATTAGACATTATAGGACCTTGATGCACATCATTTTGTTTTACGATCTGATTCAAGATGGCCGAATGGCGGCCATTTTTGTGCTAAAAAATCCTGAAAATCAAGCATTTCTCGGCTGTTTACAGATGGATTTCGTTCAAACTTGGTACATACATTAGACACTATGGGTTCCTGATGCACGTCATTTTATTTTTCAGATTATGGATTCAAAATGGCTGACTGGCGGCCATTTTGTTTTAATGATTGGGCTTCTAGAGCCATATCACCTAAATGCTTTGACTGATTATATTCAAATTTTATATATTCATATACATCATGTTATATATATATATATACATGTATTAAAAATGGCTGATTTTGAATGCTGTTCCAGAGCAATATCTCTCAATATGGACAAGTACTTATTTGATGATCAGATACAAATGTCAATCATTTTAATGTTAAAAAATCATATTCCTGACATGGTTATAATCCAGCTATATTACTATAAAAAAAACTATATATCTTAAATTTGATAACTAAAGGGAACTGTGCCATGCATGGCTTGTTCTTTTAATTTCAGGGTTTATTGATGAAAATTGATGCGTTTCACCATATACAGCTCGGCACAGTTTATAGGTGAGTACTTGGAGGGGGGCTGTCAGTAAATACAATAGTGTATTGTAGAATACTTTATTTTCCCCTGCTGTTTTCAAGTATTGAGTCAGCAAAAATCCTTTTTTCTCTATACTTGTATATGTAATTTGTACCAAATCATTGAAAGTATATTATATATCCTAACCTGGTTTGCAGTTTTAGCGAAAAAATAAATTCATTTAATTGAAGCTGGTCTGCCTGGAAAGTAAAAAAAAAAAAAGACATTTGTATAACTTAATCAAAATGATGGTTTTCAGTATTCACAGTATTAATGACTGCTCTTTGTTTTTCTGTGTGTTATTTTCTTATAGACTTATAACGTTAATTTTTGTATGATTTTATTGATAGGGGTTTAAATCCACTGTCTGATGATGAAGTAAAAGAGTTGTATCACGGCACTCACATACCACTTAGTTTGATGAATTCTTTTTATGGATCAGTAAGTTGTCAAATCTCCTGTCAGTGTTGGTGTGATTTAGCCGTCTGATATTGATTATTAGAATGATAGTACAATATTGAATTCATTGGCATGTACATTTAATAGTTAGTGTACAGTCATCTCTGAACCATATACATCACTGTTGGGCATTCATTATTTTTTCAAGATATATGAAATGATTTGTTTTATGTTCATGTTTAGCATGGGCAGCCCTGCAACATTGACACACATGTGTTACTGTGACATTTCCTGCATCAGAATACATACTATTGTATTGGGGTTATATGACACCTGATGTAAAAATTTGATGTGAAAATATAGTGCCGTTGGTGTATGTCAAAATGGGAGAATAAAAACAAGACATCAAAGTGAAACATGAAAGTTCTGGTTTCTTTGATGTTTTTTCTGTTTTCTGAGTCAACACCACATTCATTCTATCCTCAGACACTATGCACTGAGCCATTTGGAAATGTAATTTTACTGGGTATATTGAGTATTCTTGACATGAAGTTTTTTTAGTCCCGTTTGCAGTCTATTAATACTTATTTCAATTTTCCGTCTGTGATGTCTCTAACATTTTCTCAGAAATTCTGCAGCAGATATTATTGAAACTTGGCAGGTTGATGAACAAGTCGATATGCACGTAATTTTTTTTCCAGATTTGAAAATTCAAAGTGAGTCTTTTTCAAGATTTTCATCCCAAACTACCTCTCCCTACTGCACTGAGAGAACAACTGAGCATGCTCAGAATAAATAATTAGCTTAGATTGTAATGCTAGGGTTTTTAGTGATGTCATGACCTGGTCATGACCTTGATCTGAATCAGTGACAGATGGGTTGTACCATTACCAATCTCAGTAGAAAATGTAGAGGGATGTCAGGGCTACATTTTGATGAGAATTATAATGGTGATACTGAAATAAACTCATGTCCTGGTAATATACAAAGACCTGAATTAACAAAGAAGTCAAGTTGATATTAAAGGTACATCAAGGTTTACTCAGATTTATGAATGCAGTTTCTTGGTTGCACTTGTGTACTCTGAGATTTTGGACCTGGGGTCAATGAAAGTTTTCAGTTATCAGATTAAGGGAAATCACTTTATGATGAGTTGCACCCACATAGAGTATGTATTAATTCAATTGTTTGCAGATGTTCCATGTATTATTTTAACATGAGTATTTTATAATTAAATAACGGGGACTGTGACATTCATGTCTTGTTTATATTATTAATATGTTTTTAGTCCCCGTTCGGACGTAGTCCGAAAACGGGGACTTATGTTTTGCCCTGTGTGCGTTCGTGCGTGCGTCCGTGATCACCTGTATCTCGAACATGCATGGACCGATAAGTTCAAACTTCACTCATACATCACACATTATATGGGACATATGCACATGCATTGTTTTCATGATCCGATTAACGATAGCCGAATAGCGGCCATTTTAAGGCCGAAATTG